CCTGGGTTCTATCCCTGGATCGGGGAGGGGAGTGGGGTCTAGTGTTGGGGGGGGTGCTGGGAGCCAGGACTCCTGGGTTCTATCCCTGGATCGGGGAGGGGAGTGGGGTCTAGTGGTTAGAGTGGGATGGTGCTGGGAGCCAGGACTCCTGGGTTCTATGCCTGGATCAGGGAGGGGAGTGGGTTCTAGTGTTTGGGGTGGGGGGATGCTGGGAGCCAGGACTCCTGGGTTCTATCCCTGGATCAGGGAGGGGAGTGGGGTCTAGTGGTTAGAGTGGGGAGGGGCTGGGAGCCAGTACTCCTGGGTTCTATCCCAGCTCTGGGAGGGGAGTGGGGACTAGTGGTTAGAGTAGGGGGGCTGGGAGTTCTGTTCCCAGCTCTGCCCTGGACTCCCTGAGCCCCTCCCCTCGCTGTAAGAGGGGCAAGCAATGCTGCCGGGCCCAGGGGGTGGCTGGGCTGGGGAGGGGGAGTACGCAGGGCCCTGCGGGAGGAGGGGCGGAGGGACAGTGGGAATGTTGGTTGTTTTCCAGGCCCAGGGGTGATTAGAGGCGCTGAACCCAGACCCCTGCAGCCTTGGCCTGTCCAGAGCACTCAGCCAGTGCAGACACACCTGGAGCAGGTCCCAAGTCCAGTGGGGCAGCGATCGCAGGCTCTGCCCCATTCCCACAAGCCGGCTTCTCCTCAGCAGCCTCCAGGCCCTGCTGCAGCCGTCCGCGTGCCCTGCCCGGACTCGAATCCCCCGGGGCAGGAGCCAGGAGAACAGGCTTTGGCTGGCAGAACGTGTGGGAGAGGGGGTGAGCTCCGGAGGAGAATCACATGAGCAAGTGACAGCATGGCCCTGTCTAAACTCCAGCACTCCAGCTGACATCAGTGGGTGTTTCCTTGGCAGGGAAGCTATCCGCCGAACTCCAGCCTCGGCTCCAGACAACAAAGAACAGGATCCAGGGGCTCTAACCCCGAATCCACCCCATGCGCTGGGGCGTTATCCGTTCCAGATGTGGCTGCTTTCCAGTGAACGGCTGGGAGCTTCCTGGAACCAGCTCCGATGGTGCAGCCCAGCACTAATTGGCCAGTGACTCAAGGACATTTCCAATGAAAGCCTAATGCACAGAGTGATAGGATCTTCCTAACCGCAGCCTTTTGCCCTGTGATTTACACACAGTATGGGAGTTCCAGAGACTGACTTTTAAAGGGGAAACGCTGGAATCAAATGCTGTCTCAGGCCACAAGTGACATGAGCTTGGCTGGTCTCAGCCTGATCCCTGCAGGAGTGCATCACAGACCTACCACACCGTGTGGTGTCATTCTCAAGTGTTCACTTCTGCTTGGGGGTTCCCAGGGCTGGGCTAGCAGGGGGACTGCAGGTTGGGAGTGAGGGACACTGGCAGAGCTGTGGGGAGCCCAGGGCTGGGCTAGCAGGGGGGCTGGGGGTTGGGAGTGAGGGGCACTGGCAGAGCTGTGGGGAGCCCAGGGCTGGGCTAGCAGGGGGGCCGCGGGTCGGGATTGAGGGGCATTGACACAGCACATTTGTCTTCACGAAGCAGCTGTTAGCACCCCACCCCCACTTTGGTAACTTCCCTTGGAGGCCCCAGTGGTGCTGCGAGGCCTCCTGGCACCCGGGGCAGGTGTCCCAGTGCTGCCCCATCTCGCCCCTTTCCGCAGGGCGGTGGGGGGACTGGCTCTTCCCCAGGCTGATGGGGAGTGGGCAGGTGGTGTTTGGAAGGGCTTGGCACATTAGCCAGGCCGTGCCCGCGGCCCCACAGCTCGCTAATGGCAGTGCCCGTCCTGGGCTAGTGCACGTTCTGTGTTCGCTCCTTGGAGCCAATGGATTTCACAACCCAGCCCAGACGGGATTAAAGGGAAATATACAAGTAAACAAACAGTGGGCCTCGTAAACGCTGCTGGGCGGTGGAGGGAGCGGAGCCTCTCCCACCGGCCCCAGCTGCGAGGGGTGACGCGGGGAGCCGCCCGGGGCTGGCGAAGGCTCGGTGCCCCCGAGGAGCCATGCCCAGCTGGTGGAGCACACACCTAGCAGAGCCGGGCCCGGCAGGCGGACTGTTCTGACGGGCGTCCCACGGGGAGGTCTGGTTTAAGGCAGCACTGAGTAATCTCATTTTTCACACGTCTCCTGTAGTCACTACCAGCCCTGTCAGAGGAAAGGAGTTGCTTCCTGTTATTTCCGTTGAAATAGCTGTCCTGGCCGTTAGCAGGCAGGCTTTGCAGGATGGCACTTTGCAGACAGACCGGCTCTGGCAGGCTCTGCCCCGGGCTCCTGCTGTTGCTGCTCTGGGGTAAGTGCTGCAGGCAGGCTGGGTCTGCTCCAGCTCCAGGAGTTTGGGGGTGGGGAGGCTGCAGCTTTGGGCCACTTGGCAAAGCAAGACTTGGTTCCAACTTCTGCAAGCCAGACCCCTCTGGAGCCCCAGGGTGCTCTGTGTGCTGGGGGGGGGGGTGTCCAAAGGGGCCCATAGCTAGCACTAACCCAGCCCCCAAGGTCTGGCTCCCTAATGCACACGAGGTCCTGGGGCAGGAATGGGCTATTGGGCTCAGAGTGACCCCTTCGCCCTGGACTGTGTGAAAGGGGGGGCTTGAAGGGAGGGGTCTGCAGCCTGTGCGGAGGATAAGGCCTTAGGGACCCCTCCCTCCCGTGCTGGGAGCCCAGGGCTCCATCCCCAGCTCTGGCCCTGGCTGCTCCTGTATCCTCAGGCAGGTCCCTGCCCTTTCTGTGCCTCAGTGTCCCTGGGGGTGTGATGGAGGTTGGGGCCCAGGAGGGGCTGGGGGATTGGTAGCTGGGTTTGGTGCAGCGCTGTTATAATGCACGTGACAGTGCCCGGGACCCTGCTCTTGGAGGGGCAGGCGCGTGTCTGCGAGGAGATGCAGCTCGCTGGGACCGGCTGGGACGCCCCTCGCTATTCCGCACCCCTGGGTCTGGTCAGCGCTGGCACCTGGCAGCGGCGCGTCACCACCGGACGGTTTTCTTGGCTCAAGGCCTTTGGTTCTTCCCTGCTAATTAGTGGCACAAACACACACGGACCTTAACGAAGCTCAGACTGGCAGAGATTCCCAGTCAAAGCGGGAAAGGCCCCAGGACGGACGAGCCAAAGGGGCTGCATGGAACGGCTGCCCGGGGCCTGGCCCAAGAGGTGCTGGAGACAAGTGCGACAGGGCCTCTCGCCGGCCGGCTGCCTCGCCCCGGAGCCCAGCGCTGTCGCTGGGCTGGGTTTGCTCCTACCCCGACATGCTGACGGGAGCAAGAGCCGCTTGCTGTGAGATCCTGCAACTGCAGGAACAGATGGAGAGACAGCAAGGGGCCAGTCCCAGCCCCACAGACCAGCCCCTCAGCCCCGCTGAGCCCTGGACCAGCCCCACTGTCCCATGGACCAGCCCCCCAGCCCCACTGAGCCACAGACCAGCCCACAGACCAGTCCCCAGACCCATTGTCCCATGGACCAGCCCCACTGAGCCCCAGACTAGCCCTGGACCAGCCCCCCAACCCCACTGAGACCCAGACTAGACCCCAGCCCCACTGAGCCACAGACCAGCCCCCCAGACCCATGGACCAGCCCCACTGAGCCCTAGGCCAGCCCCATTGTCCCATGGACCAGCTCCCCAGCCCCACTGAGCCCCGGACCAGCCCCCCAGGCCCATGGACCAGTCCTCAGCTCCATTATCCCATGGACCAGCCCCCAGCCCCACTGAGCCCCAGACCAGCCCCCAGTCCCACAGACCAGCCCCCAGACACACTGAGCCCCAGCTCAGACCCTTAGCTCTGCTGAGCCCCAGTCCAGCCCCACGGACCAGCCCCACTGAGCCATGGACCAGCTCCAGCAAATCCCAGACCAACCTCCAGCCCCACTGAGCCCTCGACCAGCCCTGCCATGCCACAGCCCCTCCTCTTGCAGTCTGTGAACCCCTGGCCAGACTCTCATCTTGCCCTGGGGACGAGCTGGGGTGACTCCAGGTTCTCCCCGGGGGTCACCACACTCCCAGCCTGGCCCCAGATGGTCTGGGAGCCATCAGCACTGGGTGCCACAGGCTCACAGAGCCCCTCTGAGTCGAGGTATTTACTGCCCTGCCCAAGGACACAGACTCAGCCCCATAGTCCCTGTCCCAGTCAGGAAGAGGTGGGGGGAGGGGGAGCAGCTGGGAAATTGAGGGGGGGCCAAGGGGGAGCCGAGCAGGTCGGCCTACGTAGTGAAGTCTCTTGTTCGGGGCCCCAGGCCCTTAGCACCCTCAGTGGAGCCCCCCGCCCCCCAACGCCTCAGGGACTCAGAGACCCCCAGCCACAGCCAGCCCTCTGGAAGCCGCTACCAAACTGGTCACTGGGGCCGTCTATACATCACCCAAGCTGGAACTGCAGGGGCACCAGCCCCCGCCCCACTCCCCACACCCGGACCAAGGAGGAGGCTCCTCCACCCCACGCCATGGCAGCTGGCACCATGGGCAGCCTCCACGGAGAAGCCACGGACTGCACAGGTCACTGAGACCAGCTCCCCGCTGGCCCCAGGGGTCCCAGGGGAGGCACTGATGGGGCAGTGTGTGGGGAGCTGGCAGCCAGGGCAGAGAGCAGGGGGACAGGGCCCCTGAGCCCTCTGCAGTGGGGTGGGGTGATCCCTGCCTGGGGAGCTGGGCTAACCCATGTGCGAAGAGGAGAGGCGCTCGTGGGAGGCGCCGTATGGGGCTGGAGCTTCTCCGCCCTGCCGGTGGCTCCAGCCCGCACCCCCTTCGCTTCCCCTTTCTGCTCCCACGCCCACCCCTGCTGCAGCTGCCTGGCTGGGCTGTGGGCGTGTAGCGGGTGCTCAGGCCAGCGCACTGACAGGGCTGTTCCTTCTAGACGCACCGAGCCAGGAAGCCCTGGGGGGCCCCGGGGGGCGTTGGGCTGAGCGATGGAGCCGCCAGAGGTGGGAGGGGTGGGAGCCGGGGTGTGTCGGGCTCAGACCTGCTTCTAGCCCACACAGATCACCCCAGCGCTGCCCCTTCTCTGGTGTCTCCTCTAGAATCGAAAACCCCCTTGCGCCCCGTCCGGATTCCTGGTTAAAGGGACCCAGGGACCGGCCCAGGGATGTCGCTGCCCCCCGCGAGCCGCCAGTTCGGGGCAGGGCACCTGGCTGGGCAGCAGCAAACCCGTGGGCTGTGTCTCACTGAGGTTCCCCCCTCCTGCAGAGGCTCTCGGGAGCGGGCTCCATCCCGCAGGCACCGCCACGCCGGGAGCCAACGAGTCTCTGGCTGAGCGCCAGAACTGGACAGTGATTGAGCCTGAGGACCTGCTCCTCAACGTGACCGCGGGTAAGTGCCAGGAGCGCCCGGCCGCGGGCGGAGCAGTGAGACGGAGCTCGCCCTGCTGGGACCAAGCCGGGACTCCAGGGATTCCTCCCCTGGCGCTGGCTAGCAAGTCTCCGCCCGGCACCTGTCTCCCGTTGTCAACGAACGGGCGGTGCAGCTGGGCCATCGCCCCGGGCGTCTCCAGGCTCCATCAGCGCTGGGAACCACTGACCCGTGTCGACTCAATGGCTTGTGTGTCCTGCCCCACCCCGCGCCCTGCAGGCCTGAGAGCTCCCAGGGAGGAGACGCTACCAGGGCAGGACCGGGGACTTGCACGTGGCACCTGGAGGCAGCGGGGATGGGCACAGTAACCTGCCCTGAGAATGCCAGGGTCCTGGACACATAAGTGCTGCTGAATCCCTCCAGCCCTCGCAGGCCCCCTCCCCAGCCCACCGCCTAGTGCCATCCAGCCAGTCCCTCAGGCTGGGGCTTTGCCACTGGGCAAGGTCCATACTGCACCGCCCTGTGCCAGGGCCCACCCTCAGCCCTGTCTGATGGAGAGCCTCAAGCTGCCTGCAGTGACTCCGGAGCACGAGCACCAGCCTCAGGGCAGCCTGTTACTGCGCCGGATTGGCTGAGCTCCGTGCTTAGATCTCACCAGCCTATTATCCAGTGTGAGCCCCTCCGGCACCATAACAACCTTAACGGGGAGTCACAGCCAGTCCCCTGGGGTACCCCTTGCCTGGCCACCCAGGGGCACCTGCCTGTGCGAGAGATGGTCCCTTGCACCAAGAATCACAGCAATATTCAGTTCACTTACCGGCTCAGATCTCACACTAAAGACAATGCTTGTAGCCAATCCGATAATGAACTACATGACGTAGTTCTTAGAACTAGGAAAAAGGAAACACGAGAGTTATTCACAAGGTTACAGCAGGTAAACACCCATGCACAAGCTTATGTTTCAAAGGGTACTAGAAGCTTCTATAATAAGCAAGCTCCGTATGTTCTTTAGGACTAATCCAGGCTAAGCAGCTGGGGAAGCCCGTGCTTCTGCCTAGAAAATTTGCCCCCAGAGTCCAAGCAGCATGGAGACCCAGTTCCTTCTTGTCAGGGGTCTTTATTCCCCTCTTCCCCTGTGCTCTGAGCTGCAAACTCAGCTGATGGGAGGAATCCACTTGCACGACTCATCTCCGTGGGGGGTCAAGAGCAGAGCCACCAAGTCTTCTGCCCTCTTTAACATCCCACAATAGTGCGTCGGGTGTCGCTGGACCTGCCCTGCCGGGCAGAATGTAACACCCGTGCTACAGCTCAGCACGTGGCACTAGTGAAAGTCCCTCTCCTGGCTGGGGATTTACACGGTCAGAGAGGCTCTCCATATGGCGGCTCAGCTATTCCCTTACAGACGTACGTGAGATAGTGCCAAGAGCCGCTCACAAGCATCCAATAAACACAAACCCCCATTCTTATAGCTCTACTGCCTGCTTGAACCCCACAAACCCCCAGGGGAGCCAGCCTGAGCCCCGCTGTGTATTTGTCAGTGGTCAGTTGAGACATGGGGACCTTGGCATGAGCTGGCACCTGGCCTGCCAGCATCACAGAGGGGGCCCCTAGAGCCACCCCTGCTGGGAGTTGGTGTGCGAGCAATGGGGAGGGGTAGCTGAGAAGGGGACTCCAGGCTTGGGCAGGGGGGAGCTGCTTGAATCAGTCAGAGACCAGCCTTGCCAGCTTTGTCCCGGTCGCTGCCTGTCCCCAGGGGTGGGCGCTCTGCCCACCGGGTAGCACTGGGCTCCCAGGCCCGAGCCAGCAGCCAAGAGCTTTGGTTTTCTTCTTTCCAGATGAGTTGTACAATCTGAACGCCTTCATTTGCTGGGCCAATTTCAGTCACTGGATGATGAACGTGACCAGGGTGCAGCTGTGTGAATGGAGAGTCATCAGCAGGTACCGCCGGGGCCGGGGGATTGGCCAGCCCCGGGCATGAAGCCGCACGGTGGCGTTTGCTTGTTGGTTCCCAGCAGAGCCCTTTCCACCAGGCACCAGCCTGTGAGCTGCAGAGAGCCCCGAGCAGCCCAGCAGAGGCGCGGGGGGCAAAGCACACAGGGCTCTCAGACCCGGGAGGCTGGGAACCCAGCAGAGAACCCCATGTGGGGTGGCAGGGGTGTGCGTCCCACTGGCTCTACCGGGCCCCACTGAGCCCGACACCCGGCTGGGGCTGGGGATTGTTTTCTGCAGGGAACGTTGAATGAAAGGAAAAGGCTGGTTTTGTTCCCGATTTCCGATGCGCCGGCGCTAACCGAGCGGAACTGTTAGTCTCCAGCCGTGTGGCCACCGGGACGTGCCAAAGGGGCATGAGGTGTTTGGGGAACCGGCCCAGCTGGTTTGAAAAGCCCGAAATCCCCAGCAGCCCCAGCCGAGCAGCCCGAGGGTCCAAGGTGCTGGAGCCTCTTTCCCCAGGCTGGGGCCAGCTGCCCTGCCTCCTGCCTGGCACCTGTGACCCGCTGGCCGCTTGGACCTGGGAGTTCGCCGAGCACTCGGGTGTGTTAATGGACACTGATTTCCAGAGCCGTGTGGAGCACCTAGCACCACAGGGAGGGGGCGAGGAAGGGGGGGGTCGGGATGGGAGGGGGACAGGGAGGGGACGTTGGGATGGGGACGAGGAAGAGGAGAAGGAGGGGCGAGGAAGGGGGGTCGGGATGGGAGGGGATGGGGAGGGAACGTTGGGATGGGGATGAGGAAGAGGAGAGGGAGGGGGCGAGGAAAGGGGGGTCGGGATGGGAGGGGATGGGGAGGGAACGTTGGGATGGGGATGAGGAAGAGGAGAGGGAGGGGGCGAGGAAAGGGGGGTCGGGATGGGGATGGAGAGGGGCGGGAGG